TGAGAGTCTGTGACTGGTCTAAAGTTGCCCAGTGAATTCCATGGCTGAGTGGGGCTTAGAACTCAGATCACCTGAGTCCCAGTCCTGTGCTTTTAACCAGTACAGCACACTAGTCCAACAACAGCTGGGGCTCCACCAGCCCGCCACCATTCCACTGGCACATCCTGGTTAAACAAGCAGCCTTTGTATATCACATTAAATGATGGTTTAAAAAAAAAAAAACATGAATAGTCTGTCCTCCCCATATGCTCATTTTCCTTTCTTCCATGGAGCCAGTAGAGCCATTTGGAAGCTTTTGCTTTTGGTTAAACACATCAAGCTGATCTGCACAAACCTGGACTTCTGATTAATCTTAACTATGGTGAGGTTAAACCACAGTTTGAAGTTGTTGCCTTAGTAAAGCTTCACCAGAATTTCCTTTGTTTGGACAACACAGAATGCTGTAGAGAATCAGACGCTTCCTGACTCCTCCTCAGAGTGAAGCCAAATGATGAGGGATCATATGAGCCCAGAGAGAAGCAAGGCTTATTCATATCCCTAACCCTAAATCATAGTTTAGTGTAACATCTGGACTATTTAGTGATAGTCCCACTCTGTGGAAGATGACAAAGTACAACATTTTAAAGCTCTGCAAAATGCTGCGTGTTTGTCAGTCTGTAGTTCAGTCCCTAGTAGGGACACTGAAGCACCTTTGGCAGTGAAGGGTTGCTATCAGCTACTATGGGGTGGCCATTTCATCTGAACACAGAAGAGATTGCTGGTCCAGCTCTCGAACAGGTGTGTGAAGTCTTATCTTCTCCATCTGTGAAATGGGCATGGTAAAATGAATGGGTCAAGTCTACCCTGTCAAGTAACTGGGGGGGGGGCACAGGGGGAGAATAAACAATGCAGCATGTAAAGAGAAGAAAGATGAAGTGAAACAGAAGACTGCTCTTGCTTAGACAAGAAGCGGCTTGGTACCAAGTCCAACCACTGGCTCATCAGTCTCAGTATCATCTTCATCATCCTTCCCCAAACTGGCACCTTCCAGATGAGCGGGATGACAACTCCCATTCTTGTCTAGCCAGCCTGGCTGCTTGCTGGGAATAATCTGTATTGAAGCCCCTGTCTTCCCCAGTAATCCTAAGAGCGTCAGGTCGGAAAAGCTGTCAAATCATGAGAGCGTGCCGGACAAGGGACCAGGGAGATCTGGGTTCTAGTCTGTCACTTGGCCATGAAGCTCACTAGCTATCTTGGGCCAGTCTCAGGCTCTCAGCCCAGCCTGCCTCACAGGGTTGTTGTGAGGATAACATGGGGCTGTGTAAGCTGCCTTGCTTCCTCACAGAAAGAAAAAGGAAGGATAGAAATGCAGAGTGATGATGGTTATTAAGTGTAATAACACCATCCATTAATTCCCGTTCTGACACTCAATGCCCCAAACTTCAAAGGAAACACACAATGGATGTGGATATACATTTTGCCAGCTTGATATATTTCCTCACATTATTGGAACAGTTGGACCAACACTTCCCTCCATCCCAAAAGTTTAGGTATACACACCCCTGAGGCTTAGTAAGGGACAGAGGAAACTGTATACACCGGGTACTAACGTCTTGTGCCTTGCTCCCTGAGAACAGGATGCCAAGTAACAGCAACTTTGTGGTTGAACAATATTCATGGAAAATTCTTAGGTTATCCACAATAATCAGAAAGAATACCAATGCCACAAGCCTCTCGTGATGTCTCCAAACAGCTGTGCAAGAGAAAAAAATGTGCAGCCCCAAATCTACTACAAAAATAAAATGCTTCCCCTCACACCTTCCTCCTCGCCCTCACACACCCCTCCTCTTGCCTTTTCATGTCGTGTTGAGTTTCCAAGAGCCTACACTGGCTGGTGCAACCAAATCAATGCTCTCTGCCTAAAGAGAGAGTCTATTTATGTATCTCATTCAGATAATAGAAGTGGCTGGAAATAGTCTGCACAGCACATAAGCATCCCGGAGGCAATTAGCTTATCGCGGTGTCCTGCATTGGCTGGTGGCACTCGCTGACCGTGGGCTGTCACGGAAGGGTACTCTCAGATGACCTTTTTCCAATGGCAGACTCTTCATTTGACTTGCATTAGTAGGTTTTATAAGCTAGGCTCCAACAGCTCTGCCGAGGGGGTGGGTGGAAATGGGGGGGGTATCAAATGCAGCGGGTGGGAGGAAGCATTAAGATTTTAGCAACTTGTGACGGAGCCAACTTAACCCCCGAGCTCTTTAAGGCTGGTTAGCCAGAGAAGGTACTCCAGTTGAACACAGCGACGGTGAAGCTCAAGGATAACATCAGCATAAGGCTATTTCAGGGGAATCAAAACAGAGCAGGTTCTCCCTTCTACATTACATACCAAGTCAGCAAACAATGTGCAACCCCCTCATCCCATTATATGTTTTTAGGGTGCAGCCACCGAACCCCTTATCCACCAGGCAGTGCTTTTCTTGAGCTGAGGCGCAGGGATGTGCTTCTTCACCTCCTTCTATGCCTTTGCTTCCACTATGCTTCGCATGCCGTAAATTCTCTCCGTTTCAAGCCCAGCTTAGGTATCACACAACTCGCCAATTTAGGAGAAAATAAATCAAGTCAGAGCCTGGAACTGTGGATTGCGTGTCTCCCCCCCCCCCCCATTTCCAAACTCCCCTGCAGCCCCCAGAAGCGATCATCAGCTGGCCACTGTGCCAGCCCTGTGCCTATAAATCTCTTCTGGCGGCATTGTTATCTTGACAGGTCAAAAGATAGAAAAGGAGGAGAGAGGAAGGTGCCCGGGTGAGATATACGCACACTGTAAAACCTGCTCCAGTCATTTAAAGTGTCTGTTTGGATAACTAAGCAAATATTGGATCAGCCCACGGAAGGAGGGGTGGGGGGAGCTTCTGAAACTTTTAAGAGCCCCGAGACTCTGGTAAAACAGAAAAGGAGATAAGGCAGTGGGGCAGCGCTGAATAGAAGGAAGGCGCCAGCTTAGCGCAGCAAACAAACAGGCTGCGTGAGGATGAAAACCAAGCCAGAGCAAAAATTCAAAGCAGCCCTCTCCCCCTCTCCCCTGCAACTTTCCCCTTTCTTCTCCGCTTGCTCTCCTCTTTGCCAGGCATCAAAGCAAAGGCCTGGTTTCTCTTCGCAGGTCCTTGACTGGATGCTTTGAAGACAGAGCTAAAAGGTGGCCGTGAAAGCGGAGAGCCCGCCGCCGCCGCCGCCGCCCCGCGCCCCGGAGTGGCCTGCAGGGCTCGCGAATTCACCCTACGCGACGGAGGGGCGAGTGGCCTGGCGCGGCCATTGTCTCGCATCAGGCTCTTCTCTCGCTCGCTCGCCCGCCCCCGCCCCCCGCCATGCCTAACGCGGGAGCTCCGCTCGGGCGGCAGCCCCGGCCAATGGAGTCCGGCACACCAAGGAGGCTGCTGCGAGGGGTGGGCGGGGAGGAAGACCGAGTGGAGTCCTTTGTCGCGGGGCGAGGGGGGCGGCGGCGGCGGCGGCGGCGGGTGGGGAGGAGGAGGAGGAGGAAGGCGGCGCTGCCGGACGGCTCCTTTCCTCCTGGCTGCTCTTCCAGCGCCTGCCCACCTGTAAGCAGCTTTCGGAAAAGCCCTCGCCGCGGCGCCAGGCCACAGACTTTGGAGAGAAATGGGGTCACCGGTTTCACCGGAGGGCCGCTGCTCGTAGCACCGGCTCGGAGGGGCAGCCTTCCCCGGCCCGAGGCTCGGCTTGCATGCGGAATGCATCGTGCGGGAGGCGGTGGAGGATTCTCCCGCCTCGCCTCGCCGCGCCTCGCCTTCCTTGCGCGAAGCCTCAAGGCCGTCTCGTCCCACGTGTTGCATTCCTTCTTCCCGGGAAGTTCTCGGTATCCCTGGCAGCCGGCTTGCCAGTGTGGCATGCGCGCGCACAAGGACAAAGGCACAACCGGAGCACGCACGCAGACACACCCCGCCGCTGTGGAGGCTGGCGCGGGCGAAGCGGCCGCGATCTGCCACCCGCAGCTGGGGCCCGGGTCGGCCTGCTTGGAAAACACCTGGCGACCGGGAACAGAGTCAAGGGGGCAATCCCGCGCATATTTAGAAAGCGGGGGAGCGGGTCCTGCACGTCCCGGCGGGGGTGGGCTAGAGGAATGCTGAGACGCGTAGAACTTTTCCCCCTGTCAACCAACGGACAGGATTGCTTCCTCAGTCTCACGCAAATCCAGAGACGGCGCAGCCCGATCCTGGGCATGTGCAAATGCCAATGGACTCTGAGGGATCAGGGCTGCAAACTCATCCACTGTTAAGGTCCCAGTTCCGCTGAACTCAGTGGAGGGACTTCCCGGCATACAAGAAGGAGCGGTTGGTTCCAAGCATGTGTAGAGTGAGGCTATAAATGTCCCCCCACCCCGAATACAAGCAAACTGCGGGGTGGGTATACAGACAGTACAGTGCCCCTTCCTCTTCGGCAACCCCCCCCCCCGCTTCCCCTCTAAAGCCCCCACTTCCTTTTAGCCCCCTCAACTATCCGGCGTCTGCCTTTCTCCTCGTCTCCGGTCCCCTCCTTCCCTCTGCGCTTTGATTTATCGATTTCTTTTGAACAGACAATTCAATCCCGCAAACCGACCATCGGCACAAACTTCTCCGTATCTCTTCTCCTGGCATCCACCAACAGAGGAACCCCTCCCCCCCACGCCAAATTCCAATCACGCGAAATGAAAAAGTCAGCGCTGAGCGAAGAAAGTTGAGGATTTCGCTCTCTCTCGTTTACTACACCCGCCGCCGCTCCCGATTTAAATAGGACCCTATCAAATTGGGCAAGAGAGTTGATCAACTTCGAATAGGCTCCTCCGCCCCCGCCCCCCCCGCAAAGGCAAATACATTCTCCAACGGGAAGTGTGGCTTTTTAAGACCCGTGGCCACCTAGCCACGAGGGGCTCAAAACCCCGATCTTGGAGTGCCTCTGCCCCACGCATGCCCTCCAAGCCACACACACGAGAGGGGTGCGGGCTTCCCTGCCCCCCCCCCCCGGTTTACCTTGGCCTCTGGCTGCAGGGGAGCCCAGAAGTGCGAAGATTGTCCAGCACAGTATCTCCCCGCGGCTGCCAATCCCTGCCATGGTTACCGGCGACCAACCGAGCCGGCGCGGGATGGAGAACTTCTGCAGTTTGAATTGTTTTCCTTCGCTTGCTGCCGGGTCCCGGAAGGGACAGAAAGGTTTGCGGATGGGGCGGTGGAAGCGCCTCTCTTTCCCTTGAACGATCCTGTTGGAGAAGCCCCCAGAGCGCGGCAAGGATGAGGAGGGGGTGATTAAATCCAATGGAAAGGCACCCCCGATGAACTCCCCCCCCCCCCGACACACACACAAAGTCTTAAGGAAAAAGGGGAAATTGCCACGGAACCATCCTCGCCATCGTCCAAAGGGCGGGGCAGGGGGCTGAGGGAAGAGAGAGTTTTGCAGACACGTTGCTCGCCTCCCGTCTCGCAATTCTGATCTGCTACCAATTCGTGTCCTTTCCCGGGGAGCAGGAGCACCAGCGCCGGAGAAGGCAATGCAGCCGACTGGATGGTGTGAAAGCTCAACAGGGTGCGAGGAGGGGTGTGCGTGTGTGTGCGGAGCAAACCTTTACGGGAAACGCGAGAAAAGGCTCCTAGGAACTGCTCGGCGCTTCGGGCTTCTCAAAACACACTTCAAGGCTGCGAAGCAGCGAGATCGATCGCTGCCTTTGAAGCGATCGACTCGCGGAAAAGAAAACACAACAAACCCGGGAACACAGGCAAATCCGAAGTTTGCTGTCGGCAGGCAGCGAGCCTAAGGGCGAAAAAAACAAGTTCTGGGGAGGGGATTGATTTGGGGAGCTGCTCCCCTCCCCGACTCCTCGTCCTCAGCCCGTCAGGCGAACGATCCCCCCATGGCCGAAGGCAGCGGGCTGCGTCTCCCGCTCGCGAACCTCCCCTCGCGGCAATCCACACGACGCCCCGCCGATGGGGCTCCCCGGGCAGCCGCCGCCGGGCGCGTCTCTTCCCGGGGCGCGCCGCCTGCTCCGCCGTTCCTGCTAACCTCTCGCTCCTTGGCTCGGCAGCGGAGTGAGCCGAGACGGGCTATCAGCAGAGCCGCGAGCGGCGGCGGCGGCGGCGGCGGCGGCAACCTCAGCCCGAGGTAGGCGGAGAAAGCGAGAGTCCGCCAGCGCCACCAGGTGGCCGACGCGGGCCACGGCGCCCGACGCGCGCTCCGCGGGGCCGTAGCGTCCGGCGCCGCGCTGCCCTCCAGCTCAGCGGGGCGGCGCTTACGGCCGGACACAGGCAACTGCCCTCCCCGCGGAGCGGCCCGCGCTTGCTTCCCGCCCCGAAGAGTGCGAGGAGCCCCCCGAAGGCGCAGCCTCGCGAAGACCTCGGGCGGGCCCGATCCTGGGAACGTGCTGGGAGAGATCGGCGCCCCTTTCTCCGAAGGTCAAGTGTGCCATGGGAGAGACAACATCGACCATATTTCGCTCCCCTTAGAAATGCCCTCGCTCCCTCCCTCGCCCATGGATACTTCCAGAGGTGCAGGAGCAAAAGGAATAGACCCTCGCTGCGCCGCTCATGCTCGCCGCGTTTCTTTGGAGTTCGGTCCCACTGGCGTGCCGTGGAGTTATCCCCGGAGCCGGTGCTCGAACTGCGGCGGAAAGAGGATGGCTGGGAAAACTCCCACGTGCTCCGAGGGTAACATGCAAGAGCCTGTGCCTCGCTCTTCGCTCTGCAGCACCAGCGGTGGCTTCTCCCGTTCCTTCTGGTAGCAGTTTTGCGGAAGGCCTAGGTGCTGTTGCAAGGGAGAGCGAGCAGAGGCGAAGCATGACTTCCACTTTCTCCATCCCACTGGCCCATCAGAGCTTCTACCAAAAGAAGCGAAATGGGAGAATGAAGCAACAGCGCAAGCTCCAGAGGCACTGATGTTAGTCTCCCTGTAAAAGAGATACCTAATAAAAGTAGAAGTAAAGATATTTGCACCATCTCAACTTCACCGCTGTTCTTCCTGCAGTGACCCTACAAGTGGAACATTTCAGCTTCAAATACCACTCTCCAAATCTTCACTTGTACTGTTTTTTCAGAGGTTTCACACAAGCAAGTGGTTATTTGTTTTGATTTGCTGCCCTCCCGAGGTCCCAACCCAGGAGTAGGACCAGGCCAGGTGTGGGGAGGAGATGATTCATGGCCCTGGTCCTCTGCGTGGCCGACGACCTTGGCTTTGCTGTCTCCCGACCACGGGAACCCACTGCTGATCCCATTCTGGGGACCTGGCTGCAGGCCACCACATTCCGTCTCCATTCCCTTCCCCCCAGCCCTTCTGCATGCCTCGCAGCAGTCTTGGAGGTCCCACGTGGCGGCTTCCATGAAGTTGGAAAATTGACCTTAAGACGGCAACTGGTGGCCCTTAGATATGGTTGGACTGCAAACCCCATCAGCCTCTAGCCAGTATGACCAGTGGTGAAGCAGGATGGGAACCCGTGTGGCCCACTCTGCACTAGGAGGACAGTGTTGCTGCTATGAGGATGAACTTGCCTGCTCCCCTCCAGCTCTCCCTCACTCGAAATGCCCCAGAAGGTCTCCAAAGAGGCTTCTACTGAGTATGTGTACAATACTAGAGATGCTGCAGAGAACCATGCTGAAAGACTAGCTTCAGTCTGATGCTTCTCAGCTGCTCTACTCCAGGTGATAAAAATTAAATTATCGTTCTAGGAATGCTCCCTAACCAAATTTCTCCCCAGCTGTTAGGGTTCCAAATTACCTGGTCTTGTTTATAGAGCAGCAGTTGTGCATTAGTAATCTGCTTTGCTTTCATTTTCATTTCATTTCATTTCTGGACTTTATACAGATTGACACATGCAGTTTGACGTGTGTCTTTCAGTTTTCTTTGTTGTTTATGCCTCTTTCCTCATTTTGCAGGTTACAGATGCACCCAGTTACTTCTGTACATTGATGAGACACAACACCAAAGAGCATCTAGATACAATGGTTCCTCCAGATTCCCTTTGGCACTGGGTTTCATGAACGCACACAGATACTCATGCACATTTGGTAACTTGCATGGGCAAAAGCTATGCCAATTCTATATCATCCCTGAATTAATTTTAGAAACTGAATGTCTGTGCCCTTCCAGATGTTCTTGGGCTACAGCTCATCCTTAAGTGTTGGCTATGCTGGCTGGAGCTACTGGAGACTAGCAAGGTTTTCTTCCTCTGTAAAGGGAGGCAGAGTGGAATGCAGGACAGAAATAGCTGGTCAATTAGGGAAACCAGAACATCCCCAGATTCTAACAACAATATCATTTTTTGAGTGAAAAGTACAGTGAAAGAAATAATTCTACAAACAGTTATGAAATGGATGGTCTTTCACAACATAGCCCAAAAGATGCTGGCATGATAATAACAGCAGTCATAGAATCAGAATAAATTCTTCTAAATATGGGAGGTTTTTGCCCAAATGAAGGAAATAGAAGAGAGCACAAACTTAGAAAAATTATATGCAAGTCTACAATCAGGGAGGCTTTTGAAGAACAAATTGCTAGATATATATAAAAAGAGCCCTCATCATACAAAAATTCTTTAAATACATCAGGAGCAGGAAGCCGGCCAGACAGGCAGCAAGCTCTTAGATGACAAAGATGTAACAGGAGCACTCAGGGAAGACAGGGAAATTGCTAAGGTACATCAATGAGTTCTTTACATCTGCCTTTCCTGCAGAAGATGTTGGTGAGATATCCACACCTGAACTTATTTTTTTCAAGGTAACAAATCAGAACAGTGTCAAAGAGAAATGACAAAGTATTTTTAGAACTAATCTGCAAGCTCAATAGTAACAAATCGCCAGGGCCAGATGGCATTCACCTGAAAGTTCCTCACTCAGATGGGAAACTGTAGAGTTATATATTATAACTTAATCAAATCTGGCTGTTTACTACCAGACTGGAAGGTGGACGTTGTTATACAATTTGAAAAGCAATACTCAGAAATCTAGGGCAGAAGGCATGGACGTTTCACACCCAAGGCACAAGACCTACTTTTGTGACCTTGCATTAGTCTATCTTTCTCCTAATTTTAAAGTGACTGGATGCAAAAGAGAGAATTTTGGCAGCTGTAGTTTGTCATGCATTGCTCTACCTGCTAAATTTTTCTTTCCTATGATTTGAATTAAAGCAGCTGAAGCCTGCTTTGCATCTGGTACTCACCTTTCTCCTTCTATTGTTTGTTCCTGTCTTTAAAAAGAAAGTAGCCAACAATGCAAAAAGGCCATAGGGCTACTAGCACTACCCACCTCAGGTCTCTGTGTAGCCCAGTGGTGTCTCCCTGGTTGAAGGTTAATGAACCGCGATACTCTATTCCAGATTAACTGCATTATTAATGCATCTTCAATCAACATTTTATTTGTTTTTAATATTTGATTATAATTGTAGAAAGTAAATAAGAGAAAAACATAATTGAAAAGACTGAATGTGCAGGCTTGAGCTGGGTACACCATCCACATTCAGCCCACTTCCTAATCTGAGGCCAGGTGATGTTAGTATCGTGCAATCAGCATATGAGGTTCACCTGGAGCTGTACTAACCAGCTAACAATCTATCTTGTTAGGGTTGCCAACTTTTAAATCAGACACTGTAGTTGTGGTTTGAATAGCATTATGATGCGGTTTGAATGTATCATCTCAGGGCAATGCTTATATCCTTGCTGTAACAGAGAGGCAGAGTTGTATGCACGTTTAAGCCCAAACCAGGCCTATAACTCCCAGCTTGACTCAGCCAGCTGTGTTAATAAAGCAGCAAGAACTACTGAGAACATTTTTGGGGGTTACTTGGCAACTCTGCTACACTCAAATATTGAACATAATGGATATTTAAGCCTAAAACAATCCTTTATAAAAGCACAACAAACACATTAGAGGAGAATGCTAAATACCCTTGCCGAAAGAAATTGCAAAGAACCCTGCACTCAGTCTCAGTTCTGTCTGTACCTCAGTGTGTTGTATTGAACATATTTAATAGTAGTGTCTCAACTTACAAATGCTTCAAGTGACATGCATAATATTAGCAATATTGCCTGCTGTTTAGCAAAAGTTTTTTCCTCCACATGCATGAAATACAGCTGCACAGAAGTGGAGAAACAACTGAGTTTTGATCCCAAAATCTTTCAAGCCGCCTCTTATAGTGGCCAAAACATGCAAAAATGCTCTCCTTTACACACACAGATCCAGAGAGCAGTCCAAGGAATCATCACTGCACTGAAATACCGAGGTCAGATCTGAAATACACTGGATGAGCTCACATGATACAGCGACTGACTCACTGTAGGCTGGTCATCCCCAGTTAAGCCAGAGTTCTGTGCAATGGAATCCATCTTGTCTCTCTCTCCTTGCTCTGGCCATAGTCAAGGTTTAGTTGCTGGATTTTGTTGTGAGTCTCATGCTACCACTAGTGACAGCCATTCCACCAATGCCCAAGCAACACTTGGAGTGGCTTGTCACTGGCCTGTTCCCCTAATGTGTCCAATTTTGATTGCAATTTCTCACAGATTCATAGAATAGTAGGGTTGGAAGGGGGCAAGGAGGCCATCAGGTCCAGCCCTCTGCTGGTGCAGGACACCAAGTCACACCATTTCACTCAGTTGATTGTCCTCTAGTGTGGGAGAGCCCACAACCTCTCTTGGCAACTGGTTCCACTCACATACTGCTCTGACAGTTAGGAATTTTTTCCCAGTATCTATCCTGAATCTGGCATGCTGCAAGTTAAGTTTCTTGTTCCATGTCCTGTATCCAGGGATGGTTTAGAAGAGGTCTTTTTCTTCCTTTTTTGAGAGCCTCTGAGGTACTTGCAGAGTGCTAGTACCCTTATACTCTTCTCCTCTTGAGGCTGAATATGCCCAGCCTCTCATCATTGGGCTTAGTTTCCAGACACTGGCTTATCTTTGTTGTCTTCCTTCTGTCTTTTTTCTTTCTTTGCAGTGTCTCCTTTAACCTGTGGGCTCAGAACTGAACACAGCATTCCTGGTGTCA